TGAGGCTGCTTTTGCGGTGCCCGTTCCTCAGCTTTGGTTTTCTGTGCAGATGGCTCCTCACTCTCTGGCATGTGTCTCATCCTCAAAATGGGACAGACCTTACTCCAGAGAGTTCGCTGCATTCCCCTTGGTGAGTGTTCTTCTGTCAGATGAGTCTCTTATCAAGCAGCAGTGTTCAGGTTGTGCAGTTCAGTGTTTCCATACGACTGTATGAAGGTCATATCTGGTGTGTAAAGACTTGTAACCAACACACCCAGAAGAAAAGCGGTGCCTCAAGTGTGCCTATCTTCTGGAAGTGGTCCATTTATCCATTACTTTTTTAAAATGTGATGTAAAATGGAGCTGTAGTCTGTATATATAATCCGTAGCTTCGATCAGCTCCTCAAGTTTTACAAGTCTTGTTCAGACAGGTTTAACAACTTTTGTGATTTGGCACTTTAAAAAACCAATCACTGGATTCTTAAACTGCATATCTACATATAAATACCTGTCAGCTGGCAATAAACAAGTTGAATTTGTGCTAAAGTTTATGACTAAACACTTTGTTGACGAGTTTTGGGTATAAGGTTTAGTTTTTTTGCGTTTCTTGGAGGTTTTCTGTTTAACTCAGCAAATCCGCTGCAGTGAATTTGTCGACTCGGTGGAAAAACCGTGTTGAACTTGGACTGTTCGCTGAACCATGTTCTTGTGATGAGAAGAATCTCGTGGTGCGGGCTCACTCAAATCAAACCCAATTAGACCAGTTCACAATGGAAGACTATTTTTTCTTCTCTCTTCTGCTTCAATTTAATATTTTATAAAGACACGCAAAAAAAGGCAAATTCAAAGGTTAATGTGATTTGTTGCAGAGAACTGTAGAATGAATCACAGATACGACGATTTAAAGACCTTATTTTAACGCGTTTTCCTGTTTTTTGTGAACCCCGCAGCCTTTCATAAGACCCGAGACCAAATTCTGGCCGACCATCTCGAGGATTGACGAAATCTACGGCGACCAGAACCTTGTGTGCACCTGCCCGCCCATGGAGGTCTACGAGTCCCCGTACGAGGAGAAGCGGGCCTCCTCGTAGACTCTGTAGCTCCGCCCCAACGTCCAACCTGCGCTCAAAGCACTAAAACCTCCCAGACGTTTAACTCCGGCGAACTCTGTGTAAATATGAAAATCAGCCGGATCCTTTATTAAAGGAAGTTGGAAGTGTTAGCTTATTATTAATTGTGGTTAATTATCAGCTCTAAACAGCATCCTGTTCTTGTCTGGGGGGGTTGACATTGGGATTGAGCTTTGTGGGGGCTGGTTAATGTGAACTATTCAAACGGTGTAACCGTTTGCTTTGCTTTTTGTGCTGCAAAAAAATATATATATTTTTTTCCAGAAACCCTGTTCAGTTTTGACTCCAAACATTCGTTTTGTAAAATAGCCCCCTTTTCGTCCCTTTCACCCTCAGATTCCCGACACATGTTGGAGTTGTAGTCCTTATAGGCTCTTGTTCATATTCCTCTATTATTTCAAGCTGTTTTAATATTTGTTTTCTGGTGAATTGAGAATAGGCCTAATTTTTAAGGAATAATTTTCTAATCTAAATAGTTTTCTATGTTGGGAAATAATGTCTGTATTAAACATGTCTGTCTTAAAGTGTGTCCGATGCACTGCAGAGACGCTGAGCTCATAAAGAACGACTCGGACTCAAAAGACCTGCACGAGCAGCTTTCTTTCTCGTCTTCTGTTTGTGGTCTTTGTAATATTTACGCAGTTTGAAATTTGAAACTCGTTCTAAACCGTAAATTAAAAAAACGTAAATGTTTGAGGGGCTAAAATCACAGAATAGAGTGCAATGTCGAAACTGGCTGGTTGGAAACTAGAAAATCTAGGACGCGTCGTATTAAAAGATTCAGAGGCAATTCAGAAAATATAGGATCAGAGCTGAACTATTACCAAGTCTGTGTTGGAAATCTTTGTGAAAACTTTTTAATTTGTTGTTCTATCCAGCCATAAAAAAAGTAATCACCTTTAGGCACTTTGCTGTCACACTGATGCAAAATTAGACTAAAATATCAGTAATGGAATATAAAAGGGACTAAAAGATGTCTTCAAACTCTACCACATATCAACGATCCACTGAAAGTAATTAGAATTTCAATTTCTCAGTACAGTTGTGTTTTTGCATCTAGTTAAATGCTAAAATGTTAAACTCTTTTAACCTTTAAAAAAAAAAAAGTGTTTAATAAAATAAAAATTCACTCTGCTCAGCTGACCGGAACAGCAAATCTTGACAAACAAATAAATCAAAAACTACTTCATAAATAAACTAATCTTAGAAAAGTTCTTAAAAGGAAATTACTTTAAAACCATCACCCTTTAATAAACGTTTTTTCATGAATTGACTTGAGCAGGTTTAGGAATATTTGAAAAACTTCAGGCAGCTTGAATGGATGGAAATCTGCTTTAAGTCAAACTTTTTTAGGTTTTAGACTGTTTTTATGATTTTACAAGAATTTAAAAAGCACATTTTTCCCCATATTTTGAAACGTCTTAAGCAGGACTACAGTGATTCTGAATGATTTATGAACGTGCTTAAATTTAGACGCGTTCATTTTCCTTTTAAGATTGTTTGTGCACTACAAATGTGCACCCTGCTGAGCTGGTCACATAGCTGCACTTTAAACTTGTTGCGCAGCACATACATCTGGTGTCAGGTTAACGCTGCGTGCCCCCCCGAGGAGCCGCAGGACGTTTAGGAAGCTCCTAGATAACAAAAAGAAGTCGCAACGTTTCAAACCTGTGCCGATTTATTTCCTAAAAAGATTCACAGCTACAAACAGGTGAAGACATTTCATATACTGAGACATAGTTACAGAGTATTAAAAGATTTGTTGTAAATATTTCACTGTAAAAACAAAAAATGAAGTAGATTATAAATTTTGTTGGCGTAAAAAAATAATGTAGTATGGATCTCATGTATCTGCAGATTTGGTTTTCTGCACAAATCAGTTTTTAAAATTCAGTTGCCTCGGACAACTTGTTTGACAAAGATATTTAACAAAACCATAAACAACAGTGTGGCTCACAAAAGTCCAATAGATTTAGGAAAAAGAATCTTCACAAATAGGGCAGCACGGTGGCGCAACTGGTGGAGTTGCTGCCTCTCAGCGAGCAGGTTCTCTGTTCAAATCCCGGTCTGGGGGGCCATTCTGGGTGGAGTTTGCATGTTCTCTCCGTGCATGCGTGGGTTTTCTCCGGGTGCTCCAGTTTCCTCCCACAGACCAAAAACATGCATGTTAGGTTGATTGGTAACTCTAAATTGTCCCTAGGTGTGAGTGAGAGAGTGAATGGTTGTTTGTCTTGTTTGTCTCTGTGATGGACGAGACCTGTCCAGGGTGTCCCCCGCCCCTCGCACAGTGATTGCTGGACATGGGCACCGACGACCCCCGTGACCCAAAATGGAAGAAGTGGGTAAAAGATAATGGATGGATGGATTCAAACCAAATACACTCATTCTGTTCACATTCAGAAAAAAACGTCAGATTTATTCTAAAACCTTATAACAAGGTCAAAACCAACAACCTTAAAATGTGATTTACTTTATTTGATTAACAACACATTAATGGTAGAATTGGGACTTTAAGTACGAGTGATTAAACAATGGAAAAAATAAACTGGTCAGGTTCTGGTTTCTGTTTGACGCCTTTTAAGAAAGTGTTCCCCAGTTTGTCAGTTCTGGTAATGAAAGTAAAACTGGGCCTTTTTCATAAATAACTTAAACAAAGCATTTTATCTCCTAAATAAAAAAAAAATATATTGAATAATTTCATATTAATATCAACTATAAAAATATTTTATTCTAAATACTAATCAGTGTGTTTGAATAATTTTCTATTTGACTTTCAGAATGACACGAATAGAAAAATCTTTGTAGCATTTAAAACAAACAAAAAAACTTTTATTTATTTATTTGCAGTCGGGCTGAAATATTGTAGCTCCAAAAAACTGTTTTTCAGGCAAAAGGGGAAAAAACAAACTTTTCCAGTAAATGTGTCGTCACACGTTCACAAATTATTTTAGACACCAATTGGTCAGCCGTCCATAAAACCACAGACTGATGTGAATGAGGTTTTGACACGACAGCGATGTTATTATATTTTATATTTCCTAATTTATTTAGTGTAACTGCAAAGCTGCTACAATGGTTTGTAAATAGGTTTTTAAATAAATTTAACATCTGAGGTAGAAAAATGTATACATATTAAACGTTTGATGGTGAAATGAGTCGGATCCATCCGTTCCTCCGGTCCAGGGTTGATATCTCCACAAGTCATCAGGAGGTAGATTAGATCAATTTTGTAAAATAAAACAAGCCCGATGTACGACTCGCCAACCTCAAGTCCAAATGTCAACCAGAAGAACCGATGCCCTGGTTTAACAACGGACTGCATGACTTTGGAAGATTTACTCTTCATGTTGTCTTCTCGCAGAAACTCGGACAGGATATTCAAATATTGTCTAAACTTAAATATTTTATAATCAATAATAGCTACATCTACTTTGATCTTATTATGGTTGGTATCAGGAGGCAACATGGTGGAGCAGTGGATAAGAGGTGCCACCTGTCAGTAAAAAAAGGTGCCAGTTCGTCTCCCTGCCCAGAACCTTTCTGGTGGAGTTTGCTTGCTCTCTCCGTGGGTTTTCTCCCACAGACCAAACACATGCACGGTAGGTTCTAGAGTGTGAATAGTCGTTTGTCTCTTATGCATCTCTGTGATGGACTGGAGACCTGTCCAGGGTGTCCCCCGCCTCTCACAGAGAATGACGGAGAGACACCAGCTCCCCAGGACTCGAACAGGAGAAGCAGGTAAAGTAAATGGATGTTTGGTTTCATGATTGATTTTAATGTTATGTATGTGCACTGATACTATATGTGATTGTAAGTTAAAGTCATTCATTTCCCATTAGAAATTTTAAAGGGAAACTGTGATGAGGTTTAAATCACACTTGTGCAGATGTTTAGAAGTTCACACTCTATAAAATATGCACTTCGTGATGGTAGCTCGCTCTACCAGTTTAAACCAGGTCAAATCATCCCGCTGCTGGCACTGACACCAAACCAGAGACAAACCATCAACAGTCAGTCAGGCAACGTAATCTCCAGGAAAGGTTCTTGTGTTACTGTGTCTCGTTTGACTTTTCCCGTCTGCTGACCTTCAGCCTCTGCAGACTTCTTCCTCTGAACCAGGCGGTCAACCAGGACGACGAACACCGCTGAGGAGATGAAGCAGAAGCCAGAGAGGTAGAAGGCGGCGCTGTAGTCGTTCGTTTGGTCCACCAACCAGCCTGGAAAGAAAATGGAGAAATGTTGCACACTGTACCAGCAATTATTCATGCAACTGTTAACAAACCTGCCTTTGATGTAGAGTAACTGAGAATAAAATTTAGGATGGAAAGCTGCCACTCTATCAATAAACTGTGTTCAATAATTCATCGTCTCTCCTCGTTATCTGGTGCTGCATAAAACATTAATCCTCCTGCTGCCCTTGGATCAAAACAACGTATGGGGTCTCAGTTTTAAAACTCAGGCCTTATGGGTGATTTGGCAGCAAGAGGATTAAATGCAACTGACGAGAGTAAAAAGCTGCAGTTTGAACCATGTGTGTATAAAAATACATTAATAAAAGAGAACTAGTACAACTTGTTGTGCCTAAGCACAATATTAGTGTTACAGGCATCTGAGCTTGGAATATTTTCAGCTCTTTTCACAATTTGAGTGATGCAAGCGTCCTGAGACACATTTTGAAGCCTGTTAAATTATGATAATTGTCCAATATTTGACATGCACAACAAAATCAATAATTAATCGTGAGAAAATAATATTTTTCATTTTAAAACCCCATAAAAGCACTAAAGCTATATCATAAGATGTTCATGACACTCACTTTTATCATCTTTGTTTAGCAAATAAACATGTTAGCATTTTCCCAAAAAGCAAGGATCAGTTTAAACCGCAGTTTGGTTACATTAGCAACTATTTGGTCATGAATAGAAAAGCTGAACAAATTTTTTTTCTGTAATTTTCCCTTGTGACAAATGCTCTGTTGTTGCGATTTATCAAGGAAACGTTTCTTTTGGCAATATTCATGGCAGCACACACAAACAATTTTTGCTCTTCAAGATGAACTGAAGATGATAAAGAACTAACAAAGACATAACTCCACTGTGAAAGGAAAAACATGCAGTTGATTCTACCTTAAGATTATTTGAGGCCCTTTTGATGTGCTACAGGCTTCAGCTCATAATCCTCACACACGGTCATGTGGACTTGATGCTCAGTGTGCATTTATCAGCAGCAAGAACATTGGAGCAGAAGTTTGCAGACCAGCAGGTCTTGAATGGATTATGGCAGCAGTTTTCAGTATGAGTAGGTCGCAGTGTTAGCACAATTTCTGTTGCTTTGACTCTTTAAATCGACATCCATATTTGCAGCACTAATTTGATATTTACTATCAATATAAATCCATATTTTATTAGATTAATAAATGCTTAGTTTCTGAATAAATGACGAAAAAACAGAGATAAAAATCACTATTTTAAAGCTTTAATCTGACTGTACCTGTAGTTGTATTTCAGATAATGTCACAGCAACACAAACGGAAGAAAAGTAGCAATGCCAACTGCTTACCTCCAGCAGGAGGACCGATGAAGCCTCCGATGCTCCTGAACAGCATAAAGAGACCCAGTCCACTGTCAAATCCCTCCAACGTCACGATGTCCACAATAGAAGTGACATGAAGGGCCACCAAGCAACCGAACAGGAAGCCATAGAGCATCGAAAAGCCAAGGATAGCCCAGAAGTTGTGGCTGATGGGTAGCAGAAGCAGCACCACCCCAGTCAGGGTGGTGACGATGACAAGCAGCTGCAGGTTCCTCAGAAGCCTCATGTTAGCGAGCCACCCACAGAACAACCTCCCTGCCAGGTCAGCCACTGCCAGCACAGACAGGATGAAGGCTGGCCAGTACTTCTCAATCCCCAAACTGGTGGAGAAGGGCACCAGGAACAGAGTGGGGATAAAAAAACCTGCTGCTGCAAAGATCGCAAACAGGATGTAGAGAAGAAGTTCAGGTTGTTTCAGGAGGGAGCACTGAAAGATAACCTTCCTCTTTGAAGGGAGCACAGCAGCATCGTCTTCTGAAGTTGTCAGGGTGGTCTCTAGAGGTCTCATGAGTGCACCGCACACACACAGGTTCAACTGAAGGCCGCTGATGATGAGCAAAGCGCCCTGCCAGGTGTACGTCTCAATGAGCCACTTGAAGAGGGGACTGAACACCATGGAAAAGACACACTCCCCTGAGCTGGCAAGGGCGTAGGCGATGGGCCGCCACCTCGCAAAGTAGTGATTCACCATGCTCATGGCAGGAACCCACGAGAAGGAAATGCCTGTTCCTGGAAAAACAAAATGGAAACACTTACTCTTAACCATGTAGATATATTTATCCCATACAAGGTTAAAAACATTTCCATGACAGTTTATTTATTCTTTCTTCTCTCAAATAGTGTTCACACATTTGTGTAAATCTGCATTTCTACTTAGCTGAGATAATCCATCCCCCTCACAGGAGTGGCATTTCAAGATGCTGATTCGACAGCATGATTATTGCACAGATGTGCGTTAGGCTGACCACAATAAAAGGCCACTCTAAAGGTTTATCTCACAGCATGATGTCAGAGGTTGTAAGTTTTGAGGGAGCATCCAGTTGGCACGCTGACTGCAGAAATGTCCACCAGAGCTGTTGCTCATGAACTGAATGTTCATTACCATAAACAGTCTCCAAGGTTTTTATGAGAATTTGGCAGTTCATCCAATTGACCTCTCAACCGCAGTCACCAGCCCAGGACCTCCACATCCAGCATCTTCATCCCCAAGATTGTCAAAGATCAGCCGCCTGAACAGCTGCTGCAACAATCAGTTTGCATAACCAAATAATTTCTGCACAGTCCGTCAGAAACTGCCTCAGAGAAGCTCATATGCATGCTCATCATGCTCATCATGCTCATCATGCTCATCATGCTCTCCACCTGACTGCAGTTTGTCGTTGTAACCAACTTTAAGAGGACAAATGCTCACATTAGATGGCGTATGGCACGTTGGCAAGATGTCTCTACGTTGTGAATAGAGTGGCCCATGGTGACGGTGGGGTTATGGTATGGGCAGGTGTATGTTATGGACAATGAACACAGGTGCATTTTATTTTTTTGAATTCTGAATGCACAGAGATACCGTGACGAGATCCTCAGGCCCATTGTTGTGCCATTTATCCATGACCACCACCTCATGTTGTAGGATGTCATTTGCCCGCTCCCTCAAATCTAGTGACCGCTGTGGAATTGTGCTGTGCGATAAAACTGTACATTTTAGAGTGGCCTTTTATTGTGGCGAGCCTAAGGCACGCCTGTCGTGCTGTCGAATCAGCATCTTGATCTGCCACACCTGTGAGGTGGATGGATTATCTCGGCAAAGAAGAGGTGCTCACTAACACAGATTTACACTTATTTGTGAACAATATTTGACAGAAAAGGCCTAATGTGGACATAAAAAAAGTCTTAAATATTTGAGTTAAGCTCATGAAAAATGGGAGCAAAAACAAGTGTTGCATTTATATTTTTGTTTAGTGTACGTTGATCATAAATCAACCAGTTGAATCATTTGAGTTTCTAGGGAATCAAATAAAAGAATTATGAGTTCATAGACGGTAAAGTCTTTGTGTTGTGAAACCAAAACAAGCTCCACTGAAAACTGTTGATTGGATTTTTTTTTCAATCAAACCTTTTCTGTTCAACGGTCTTTGTTTCTGCTGCTGTCGAGTACAGATTACTCAGACGTACATTATTATTGCTCACCACCGAGGACCAGGTGGAAGCATAGGGATTTAGATGGGGCATGTTGGGAGGCCCGGTCAGTCTTGGGGTAGGATATCATTCAAGGTCTGGGTGGTTGGATTTTACATGTCTGGACTGAAATGTTGACGTGCTTTATGTTTTTTGTGCTGTGATGATCTGGGTTTAGTGCTTTTTGCAGATTTTTACAGGGCCACAATAAGAGGAGGATGTTGGATCAGACTTTCTGATGATGTGTGTGCTCCTGTGAATATATATATATTTTTTTCCAGTGCATGTAAATGTCAAAACTATTGTATATTTGGGTTTTATAAAAACTTCTATCATATATCGCATAGACCATAAAACTAACGTACAAATACAATAATTATCATTTATCTGGGATCACTGGGATGTGGAGAATTGCTTGTATGGTTGTCTGCGTCTTCTGTGGTTCATGGTTTGGAGCGTTTCTGAAAAGTAATTGATAGTTTTTTTGAACAGCAGCTGTTTTGTTGGGGTCCTGCCTTTTGGTCTGGGTTCTTTGCCTCTCACTGACTTCACATTCGGGGGTGGTGGGGCTGCTGGAAGCAGCATTGTCCTTTCCTTATAGTTTTGGTTCTCTTTGCACTTCTTGTGCAGATGTGTGGGCGTTGCTCTCTTGGCCAACATCCCTGCAGGGATGTGTTGTGGTGTTGAATGTTGGCTGCATTGAAACCCTTAAACGTTTCTTCATGGATTTTATTATTATTGTGAATATTACGATTGCTGTTAAAATCACGGTTAGAATTATTTACAGTTAATCAATATTTAAGCTTTTTTTTTTCACTATTATTGCTAACATAAGTAATAGTAGTTTTTTGTTCTCATTAATTCAGTTGTGAATGTTTTTCTCTTCCTTTTTCATCTTTTAACAACGTACTACATTTTGTTTTATTTGCCGTTTTATATCCTCTCTTTTCTCAACTGTTTCATTTTTGTTTGTCATCTGTTTCTAATTATTGCCACCTTATGCAATAAAAAATATGCTTTATTGATTAGGCACAAGTAGATAAGTTCAACATAACTTTTTTTCCTCTATGCTTTCAAATAACAAATACCAACAAACCAAAGCATGGAAAGGTTTTGTTAATCACCATAAACAACAAAACGTGAAAATAAGTGGATTAAAGGCCAAAGAACAATTTACAGGTTTTTAAATGTGCTACCTTCCAGGACTCCCATAGTGAGGTAGAGCCAAGGCAGACTGAGGTCCAGAGACGCCAGCAACATCCCCAATGAACAGAGCAGGCCTCCTGCTATGATGACCACTCTCTGAGAAAACCTTATGGTCAAAGCACTGGCAGCTGGAGCTGTAGAAAAGTAGAAATAAAATAAATCACCTTGGGTTTTAAAAAGGGACAAAGTTTAATCAGGTTGCCACATCTTTACCTCCAATGTGAAACATGGCAATTGTTGTCGAGGTCACCCATGAGGTAGTGCTAGTCAGAACTCCAAAATGGCTTTGGATGTCCAAGAAGAAGTGCCCAAAGTTTTTGAGGACAGCCGCAGTAAGGCCCATGATGAAGAAGGTTGATGCAACCACCACCCATCCGTACCCCCCATCAGGAGGTCTGGTTCTCCTGGACGTCATTTGAACTACCCGCCTGTAGGAGGCTGTTGTGTAATAATTCCCCACACGTGACTCACGAACACTAAAGTCCAAATGCGCACATCATGTGCACAGCAGCTGCAGGAACAGTTAAGAACTGTTTATCTTTTGCCACAGATGAACTCCCGACTCTAATTTCAGCCCACTATTATTTAGTGATGTTAAAATCATTTCCAGCATTGCACAAAATGCTACAATTAAAAGTAGTCATCGCAAAGTCAAGTACTGGACAAAAAAAAAAAAAAAAAAAAGACAATCCGCACAATTCATTTCCTTTAGTTATCCAAGTTAGTCCCGTTGAGACACAGTTGTCGCATTTCTAAGAGAGACCAAAATCAATACAACCAATAAAAAGCATTAGTATAAAATATACATATCAATACAAGCACATCAAAAATGTTCAAACATGAGCTACACTGGCATAAAAGTAATAATCGAAACACACTTTAGAAACAGGAGCATGCGTTTAAAGAAACGATCTCCGCTCTTATAAGTTGAAATAATGAGAGAGGACAGCTTCTGATCTCGCTGGAGGGAAGTGACCCAGCTCAGTATGCACTCGTGTAACGCTGAAGGTGATGAATGCCTGAGAGCAAAGGCCGAGTCAGAGTCCGTTTCTTTAATGTCATTCGCACCACATGTGGTACATGTGGTGGAACGAGATTGTCAGGGTCCCAGTTACATCAAACAATAAAATGTAAAAGAAAAACTGTAATAAGATCTAAGATTTGAACTAAGAAAAACATAAACTAAAAAGACGCTAAGCACTAATAGCATAAAAGCATTAAGCTGAACAGCAGCACGAACTTGAGTCTGTGTGACATGATGTGGTTTTTCACAGTGATTGTTCTGGTTAGATATTCATGAGTCTAACAGCCTCAGGGTAGAAGCTGTTCCTCAGTCTATTCGTTCTACCCTTAACGCTCCTGAACTTCCTGAGGGGAGAGGGGCAAAAAGTGTGTGTGCTGGGTGAGTGGGGTCCTTCATGATGCAGGTGGCTTTCTTCCTGCATCTAGAGGTGCAGGTGTCTGTGATGGTGGGGAGGCTGACTCCAACAGTCTTAGAGACGCTGCTGTTTGCAGATCATGTAGCCACAGAGGAAGCATTCTGTAAATAAATGTGAACCAATGTAAAAGTCTACTGTAACGAAGGCAGCTAACCAGAGTATAATGTGCAATGATAATGCAACTGTTAACAACGATGTTCCACAAGGTTCAGTCTTCGGACCCACCCTCTTCACAATCTACATCACAAATGTAGGTCAGATCATACCCGACGCATCCTTACATTTCTATGCCGGTCGGTGGCAGTTTATTGTCGAGCTAAAAAGGTTGCTAAGGTTTTCCAGCTTTTACAGTCTGCTTTTGACATCATGCAGTCAGATTTGTTTTGTCTCAAACTTGTGCTAAATGGGATGTCATTTTCAAACAGGAAGTCAGTTCCAGTAGTCCATTTTATCTTCGAATGGTGTTCCTATTGAATTTGTTGATTCTTACAAATACTTGGGTATCTTGGTCGACTTAATGAAATGAAACTGAATGTAACTGGGACCCTGTGTACACAATTTTGTTCCATCTCATGTACTATATGCGATGCGAATGACAATAAAGAACCTTGACAGTAAAACAGCGTTTCTTTTTCAGAAATAGATCCTAACTCTGAACGCTAAGAAACACCTTGGGACTGCTACTTTCCTTCCCTCCATTGACTATAGTGACATTATTTACACGAACGCCCCTAGCACCTTGCAGATGTTGGATGCTGTCATGGTGCGCAAAGATTCATAAGTGGCTGTAACTACCGAATCCATCACTGCACCCTGTATTCACTGGTCAATTGGTCGTCATTAACTTAATGACTCTCACACTGGTACATTTTCATCTTTAAATCACTTATTGGTTTGTTGCCTTTGTGAGTGCAGCTACAGTACGGGACATTATTACATGCAGTGTACCCTCAGTGGGGACCGAGGCAAAAGGGCCTTCTCTTCTACTCCGCTCCTGTATCCTGGAACACCCTACATAAAGATCTGAAGCTTTCGACCTTGAGGGCCTTTGAACAACCGCTACGCTCAAAGCAAAAACCAACGCAGACATGTTTCTGATTTTAGTATTCACATCGTTTTATAATGTAGCAGTTTTTTTAATATATATTTCTTCTGCTTACTTTTCATTTATATGCTTTTTTTATGAGACTATCGTCTCTACCTCATCCGTGATCTTTGTTTAAAACAGGTTTCTCTTGTAAATGAGTCCTCGAGGCTCAATGAGACTAAGCTGTATAAATAAATAAAGGTTGAATTGAAATTGAATTGTAAGCAGCATTTGTGACTACATGCCTTTATGTACGAAAAGAGCTGAAGTGGTGGAAAATTAAACTTACGGCCATATTCATTTACCATCAGACTATGGTCGACCTAATGAAGGTCACTCATGTGACCTCTGAGCAGATTCAGGAGTGCTTTGTTTACATCGAGTGCCAACCCGCAAAATTGCATATTCAATTCAATTCAAAAATACTTTATTAATCCCAAAGGGAAATTCAAAGGGAAATACAAATATAACAAATAAATAACAAATAATAAATATAATTGTTACATCTGGACATCTTGAGTAAACACTTTAAAACTGCACTGTCTGATATTGTTCAGAATGTTTTTTTTTTTTCATCTGGTTTCATACTTTGCGATGAGTACCTTTAGTTTAAACAGTTAGATAAATAAAATATATTTAAATAAGTTGTTTCAAAACAAAACAAAAGCGCAATAAACTTGAAAAACAACTACGCCGAGAAATAAATGAGAAGTTTCATAAAAATGAATGCTCACCTGTTGTCGCTGCGGCGGGTCCAAACCCTGAAGCCTTCATGACGACCTCCTCCTCCTCCTCCCCCCCCCCTCCTCCTGCTGTGGCGACGCTTTCTGCGCCGTGACGTCACAGCGCGCTCCACTTTTAAGGAGACCGCCTTTGAAAGGCCTCAAAGAGAAAATGATACGGACCTTACACTTTCGCATTTTCATCTCATTTACTGAACAAACGGGACAGCATGCAAGCCTTGAAATTACGAGCAATTACCGTTTTTATCGCTGATAAATTTTGGCTAACGTTTAAGTATTTGAAGAAGCTAAAGCTAATGCATACAGAAGAAACATCCGGTTTTCAAAATAAAACATTATTTTTTTAAACTTTCCAATTATTTAAACTTCATGGTTATCGAGATGAATACAAGCGTATTTAGAATAAGAATATATTTAAAAGGATTTAACTAGATTGTAAAACAGACTGATTTAAAAGCCTATTCGTTGTCTTTATGCAGTTTGTTTTACTTTGAAAATCAAAACATACCAGAAGATAAAATTATTGCAGTAAAATATTTTTGATAACGTTATTCTGCATGGCAACAAACTTAGACGAACATAAAATTAAAATACTTTAAATTGACACTGTTTTACTACCTACAGTGACCATATATTTTATACTTGACACATGATAAAGGACTAGTTAACACTAAGCAGTATTTTGTTGAGTTTCCAAGCGGCTACAAAAGTTAAGAAAACAGAGGAAGTTATAAAATAAAGAGAATAGAAAGTGACAAACTGCTCCACAGATGTGCTTCTTTAATTTTCACGCCACCTCTCACATCGAAAACAGAAACAACAGATTATTAAAATCACCTCCATGGGCGCTTAATTAACACTGATGTTTTGCCGACATTGTAAATATAGCATTAAACCATGTTTTAATTTTATAAAATTATAAAATTTTTCTGAACATATGTACACAATTACTATATTACAGTTAAAACCCTTTCTCTCATGCACACACATACACACAAGCATGCATGCACACACAAAATAAACTATGACATTTTCTTTTCAGATGACAGCCAAAGTGGATAGCAAGAGCTAGACCAGCTAGCTGAATGTAGACACACACGTAATGCACGCACGCACGCACACACACACACACACACACGCACACACACACACACAGAACTTGTTCACAACAACCACCTTTAGCTTCAGGTCTGGCATCAGTCTTGTCACAGTCTCTTTAAACTCTTCAAGTCTTCTTTTAAAACTTTGACCATTTGCTTATTTTCAGCAACATTAGCCTTCAAGTTTAACCTCTTCCTGCAGCGAGCTGCAGTCCACCAAGCTGCTCCGCGACAGAAAACTGCCTTGCTCGAAAGGCACCTCGGCAGTAGTCCTTATTCCAAGCTCCCACACTTCCAGTCACGCTGCTCACCGGCAGAGAAACCTCACTTTGGCTTTCCTCGATGAGCCAGAACAAAGCTTCCAGTATTTTCGTTGAAGAGCAGCGGGACTCTGGATCTTAAAACTCCTTACTGTCCCTGAACAAGTCGATCCGAAGGGCCAGCTCATTGAAAGACGGACGCAAGGTGGGGTCTTTATCCCAACACTCCTTCATGATCTCATGCATCTGAAAAGAAAAGCAGAGAAAACGTTTTCAGCAGGAAACTAACATCACCTATTACATTTTTCTGCAAAGCACTGTATTCTCAATCTGGAAGCATTTACAGGCGCAGCTCAACTTCCAAGTCCCAGTGGACACGATTACTGGTTGATAAACTCCTAAACCAAGCAAATGACTAAAACCTTCTCATTCCTGGTGGTAAAATAGTTTTAAAATTAGGTCATTTCAAAAGAAGCCAGTGTTGGAAGTGACTTTGGGGCCCAGCTGCTTTACAACAAAAGATCAGTAAACTAGATTTATAAGCCAAATTTTTTTTTTAGTAGCTTCTTGTTACGTTACAATTCAGAAAGGCGCTAAAATGCCATACACGAAAGTGCGCTACGACAAAACCCTCTCAAAGATTGTGAAAGAAAGTGAAGAGGAACAAAAGAAAGTGACCTCTGTAGGACAACCCAGGGGTTGAGGCAGCCTGCTGCCCGATTTGAGCAGCTCGATGAGGTGATAAACAATCAGCTGCCCCTGCTTGTCGTTGCCCATCATCGACATAAAAACCTGAACAGGAAGACGAGACAAAAGGGATAATGAGGAACCGAAATGAGGACAGATATAAAAAAATATTCCATATAGTATAGAAAATGTATTAATGGACGAGAGAAGTTGAAAACATTGGTGTTCAGCATGTTTCAGGTTTGCTGAACAGCCGGTGTGTCAAACTGTTCTGGCTTCACATGAATGATTTATTGCACTCAGAATAATAAGTGTAGACATTTGATACTATCTGGGCTCAACATCTCCCTGCTCATTTAGCTCAGGCACTGTGAAGGAAACCTACAGAAACAATTGAACTGTACTCTTGTTTACTGCCTAATTCAGGTGCATCCTGATGCTGGTGTTTTGGAGAAGTGAGAATGGTGCAGATGAAGACGTGAAGAAATGATCAGCTGCTCTCAGATTAATGGGAAGGAGAGCATGTCTGCAACATTCACCATAACTGAATCAAATCACATTACATGTTATTAAATGTTCTGCTGCTCCGAGTAAGCACAATGTTCTCAGACATGCATGAAAAATTGTACCGTGAAGCCCAAAATAAATACTTTGCAAACTGACCAGTCGTACAAGTTTTGCTTCATTTGTTTGCTCGGCTTAATGATGTCACCACGTTCAAATCTCGAGGTTCTTCAGAGCATCTGGGAGTCATTTTGGTGGACATGTTTCTTAAGACTCAGTCCACATGAACATTTAGCATCAAACTACACACGTTTTGTTTTATAGATGGTAAAAAAAGGAAACAAAATGCAAAAATCATTTTCTGCATATGACTTTCTGAAAATACATTTTATGTAAGAAACAAAAACAAACAAGTTAAAGTGTTTTGGCAAAAAAGGACATTTGCTGAAATCTACATTTTACTTAATGCTCCAACTATATTATCAAAATGTAAAGACAATAAGATGCTAGTTTTTACAGTTTTACTTTAGTATTGGACTCCATCTGCTAGTACTGCAACCTGAAATGTTAGAAATACGAGGTTTATACGTTTAATTCATGTCATAAGACTTTACATTCTCAACAATGATCAGAGGGTAGACATTATGAAAAGTTTCAGGTTGTCCAGCCGACAACCTCTCGACAGAATCTGATTGTCCGCCAAACTTTTTGGTTGTCTGCAACTTTTACAATAAAGGAGCAACACAAATAAAAACTTGTAAGAAAACTAACCTGCACCATCAAGACTGATGTCATTCTGAAGGAAGAGAGGGGTTTTGAACAAATGTTTTATAGTTTACTTTTATTTCATTTCAGTGTTTTTAATTTAGGGGCGTTAAGATGTATATAAAAATAACAAAAATTGCACAGGAAGTCCTTTGCAGAATATAAATTAACTGATTTATTTATTTATTTTTGCCTGACTGACAGATTTCTCCACTAAAATTGAATTCAAAGGGATTATATTCACAGGATTCCAGAACATGTAGATCATTTAATACGATTTATTATTCATATGTGATTTTTTTGTTAATTACATTTATCACAGTACAATTACTTCTCAGAATGGTTCTAAATATAATCAAGTTCAGTTCATCCAAACAAAAAGCCACATCTTGTTATTGCTAAAACACTGCAGAATTTAAGATAGCAGATTTTTATAAACTACAAAAAACAACTGACCACAACAAAACACATTTTCCCATTTTATTTATTTATTTATTTTTTTTTTACAGATGACAGAAACCTATCACGGTGACGGAGAACTTTAATCCATGTTTTTTTCACTTGGTTGTCCACTTTGTTGACGAGGTCTGGTTGTCCGAGATGAAAATAGGTTGTCTCGGGACAACTGGAAACCACTTATGTTGACCCCTGATGACTTTTAAATTACTTTAGGATAGAGCGACACTGAGGTGAGCACAACAAGAAATAAATCCCCAACAGGCTGTGATGTTATTTTGTCAACATAAAAAGTGGTTTTAGGATTCATCCAATAGTTACGATTCAATGATATAATTACAATAAAGAACTACAAATAGTGTTTGAGTTAATGAAATGAAATAATGGATGAAGTTGTCCATTTTATACTTAATGAAAGATATTTGTTTCTAAATATTACGAGTTTTAGTTTATTTATTAAATTGTTTCAACAGCTATCAGATAAAAATAGGTAATGAGATGAATAGTGAATTGTAAGAAATGAGAGAAGGGGAATGACTTGCAGTAAAGGTCCACCCAGCTAGAAATCTATTCTGGGATTCACTGCTGACACCATTATCCCCATGTGTTCAACTGTGACTCAACTCCGCTATCTGCTCCCACGCTGCCTTTAAGGTCCCTCACCAGTTTTATAAACGTATAACTTACATAAGTAATGAAAGTAATTTAAATCTTAAAAAATAAAAAACAGTTCATGCTGCTGAATGTGTTTTGTTACTTACTGCAGGAGGGCTGCAGTTCTTGTCGCTGTGGGTGAAGAGCTCATAGAGCACCACTCCAAAGCTCCAGACATCCGATGCCACAGAGAACTTGCTCTCCGTCAGAGACTCGGGGGCATACCTGCAAAACACACGCCATGTCACTGCCTGCCTGAAGCAATACATATAAACCAACAAGCTGCTCCTAAATAACTTGACAGTTAATATTTTTTTAAAGTTAATAACAATAGTACCTTGCAGAAATAGAGTTAGAAAAAAGTTTCAGTTTTCTAAGTTAATCAGTTTGAGTTTTAAACACAAACATGGTCTGACCAGAATATGGGGCTCTCTCCTGGTTCCTTCACCATGTAGTACTCTTTATCCTGAGGCAGAACTTTGGTGAGGCCGAAGTCTCCGATCTTCACTCTCAGCTCACTTTCAACGAGAATGTTTCGCGTTGCCAGGTCTCTATGGATGTACCGCTTACTTGACAGGTACTCCATACCCTGTGCAAACACAGACAAAAATTAAACACAAGTTGTTTTCAGGTAGGAGAGTGTAAATAACATGAAGCAAGACAAAACTGCAGTACCTTGCAGATCTGAGAAGCATAATGGATAAGTGTGTTGTGGTCTATTCTCTCCTTGTTCTTTATGAGGTAATCTCGCAGACTTCCAAAAGGAAGATATTCCATAATGAGACGAAGATTTCTTCGACCTAAAGGAGGGGAAAAAATAAATTGATGAATTAACTGCTCTTCACAGAGAAGAATTTACTGTAAATATGTTTTAGATTTCAATGTTGGTCTTCTATTCCCTGTGGATCAGCACCGACTTATTTTATAGCATTTTCACAATCAGACGCACAAAAATGCAGAGAACTTCAAGACCAGTCCCTTTTCACGCCCATACATATTGTAAAGAGAGTGTGACTACATTAAATCTACTGCGTTCTGATGATTCAGTCGTTAAAACAAAAAACTCTAAGTGTACCTGCGCTGTAACAAACACCCTTGTACTTGACAATGTTCTCATGCTGGAGAGATTTCAGAATTTCAATCTCTCGCTCGAAGTCTCGTAAGTGCTCTGCAGTACTGTGCTGGAGTTTCTTCACAGCCACCACCTCTCCTGTGTTGTCCTGAAGCGGGTCGTACCGACACATCTCCACACTGCCAAAGTTTCCCTTCACAACAAAACACACATCGATCTTTAGTCTTTACTCACAGTTTGAAGTGATGTGTTGCTATGCATAATCATTATTTTTATAAAACCTACGAGACCCAACAGGAAAAAAAGGCCTAATATAAAAACAAATATACAAACATTTACACTAAGTTATTACAAACCATCTTAAAGATGCACAAAATAATACGAACCTACAACATTCCATATAACTGGACCAGCTTAATTTCAGCAGGACGCTAACAGACGCAAATTAATTTTTGTGCGATGCTGTTTTCTAACAAAAAAAAAAACCCCATAAAATATCTATTTATATTTCACATTTCAACATACCTTGCCAAGTAACTGCAGGAAAATGAGGTGTCTTTCTTCGAACAGAGCCGGTTCCTGATTCTCTAATCCTCCGGTCGTCCAGCTGGACCCCGCTGTCCTGTTTGGCAGGATGTCGTCCATGATCAACTCATAGTCTACAAACATAAAGGATAAACACAAGGTACATTAAAAAAGACAGACAAATGTCTCTGGTGGTCCAACATATACGTACTGAACAAACTTTAAAGTTTGTCTCTGCTTTTCTCAAGTTGACAGTGAACTCTTTTGTAGGACTCATTCTACACATTCTGGTCACGTCCATAATTCTCACAAATAATCTTTAGTTGCAGTAGCTAAAGATGAAAATGTTCTACAGTACAACATAATCTCAGATATTCAGTAATTTGCTAATCTTGAACATGAACTATGTCTTTGGGTGTGTTGGGGTGGGGGTACACCAACCTGGTGTGAAGAGGCTGTGGAGGTCACGGATTACAGCGCGGAACGTGGGTCTGAATGTGGGCTCGTAGTCCATGCAGCTGGTGATCAGATTTGCCAGTTCTGTCCACTTCGGTGCGGGAAGATGGTGGTGATCCTCATAGAACAAGATTTTCTGTGAAGCGTAAATAAAACTTTGTAGACATCACTCTACATTAAAGTACAACAAAAACATTCTTGTGTTAGAGAGTGAGATAATTCACAGTACTGGTGTTAATGCTTTTCATTTGTTCTTTGTGCTACATTTACTTTGGTTTACATTTATTATATTAATGTTTTTCAATTTTCAGCTGAAATCTACTTAAGGTTCAAAAATGTTTGCTGCTTAAAATGTTAAAGTGTTAATTAATTTATATGTTTTCATTCCGAATCCAAACACCGAGTCTAAACTGTTTCATAATTTCGGAGCACTTATGCAAGCATCCCCTATGAAGCAGTTGGCTTACATGAGTTTACAAATGGTAATAATTTAAAATAAATACATATTGTATGTGTGGAAAGTCAATAGAATTTGCCCAACAATCACTAAGAAACATGAGATGATTTAAAAACGTATATGCAGACCATACTATCCACAGCATTAACTGCGTGTCTTCATGCGACACTGAACATTTTAAAGTTGATCATTCAACTCTACCTTGGAGTTGTCTAATGTTGGTAGAGGTTTTTCCCCACCGCTGCAAATTTCCCACAACGTTGTGCCAAAGCTCCACTTGTCTGCAGCCAGGCACAGTTTCACAGGCTCCTTGACATATTCAGGGGGCACCCAAGGGATCCTCTCGATCAGGACTGATTACAAACAAAAACAGTTCACCAAAAACATTAGAATTATTGAAGCTTTTACTATTAAAAGTGCTGATATTTGCTAGCAAAATGTCAGTCTCATTTTTTTTTTTAGTTGGTGAGTCAAATAAAACTGAACGTTTTATTTGACTCACCAACTAAGTGAAACTCAGACTGAATAAAAGTTACAGAATAAAAAGTCAAAGCAGTGAAGCGTCAGAATAAAGTGATGTTTCTTTAAGCAGTAACATACTGCCCCCTGCTGTTTAAAAAGGATTATGACAATTTGGCTGAACTTAAAACACTCACTTTCTTTAGGGAGGACAGTGATGCTGATTCCAGGGTCAGAGAGTTTGATGAAAGGTGGGTTTCCAGCTCTTCTGTCCTCTTCCCTTATTAGCAGAACATTTTTGGCGCATACATTCCCATGAACAAGATGCTTTTCCTCCTGCAGGTACAAAGAAGAAACACCACTTTCACCACTCAAATCTAACAAGTTTTCCCCCCAACTTCCTCATATTTATTTCAATGTCGGCAAATACTTTAACTTTTAAAGAAGTCAAAGTTCACAAAATCACAAAACAAAGACACAAATATTCATCATTACATAGAGCCAGCCTAATAATGGGCTTGAATATAACAGAAATCAAGTTTATACCAGGAAGTTCATGGCCCAGGCCAGCTGCTTCGCTACTTCAAGCTTCCACTGAATGCTTATCGAGTTCTTGTTCTTCTTCAAGTATGTGTCCAAGGAGCCAAACTTTACATACTCCTGCACCATAATGTCTGGAAGGGAACACAAAATTATTTTTCAAGTTAATTCGCAAAGTATCATACTGAAATTAAGAAAAATAAAATCAGGAAAGTGTTGTTTTCAGGACTTTTTGTAACAACTGAAGGGTTCAAACTGAAACTGAGTCCACTTAGTTTTTGTTTTATCCATTTATGATCAACTTTGCATATTTGTTGAGAGTAGAACATTGAGCCTTCTTAGCAAAGATAGACAGTGATTTGTGAATATTGGAAGAGTCATTAAAAGGTATAAATAAATAAAAAAATATGTAGGTGTTGTTTTAATTAGTAATTATATTTATTTTAAACACACCTGTAGCTCATGCTACTATCAAAACTATGCGGAAGCCATCATGTGCCAAATTCTATCCTAACCACCATGGTGCTTTACCAGATGAGCTAGGATTACAAAGTAGAAACTAGTCAACTTCACAGCCAGAATACCATACTTTTCACCATCTAAATTGCACCTTTTTGCAAGTCCTGCGAATTATCCACCGAAGCGACTAATATGCGTTTTACCCCCCATATTTATAACCCAATTTTAAGATGAGATCTGGCTATTTCATTCATTCTGACATGGAAAATATTGAACACTACCATTTTCAGCTGCTAGAGGGCCCTCAACGTATATGGCAAGCCAAGTGTCTCATTAATAGGTAAAAATTAGGGATACAAGATATTGGATTTTTGGCTGATATCCGATATGTTAATATGTTAAAACTTATTTGGCCGATAACGGATGCCGATATTTTATATGCTATCCTTTGTCAGAACATAGCCCTCTTATTTAGACTTATTTGCTACAAATTTGTGTAACAGCTGTAAGAGCTGGTGACATATATTCAGTAACAGCCATATGATATGTATAGCACTTTAACTTATATTAAATGAAAAGTGTAACATGTTATTTATTAGCATGCGATGCGGTCTCACTTGTGGAGGCTTGTTCCAGGTTCCTAGCTGCAAAGACAACCTTTTTAAGTTCAAAGTTTTTGTCTATCCATTGTGCCATGAGACTAATCATGCTAACGGGGCTAACACTTGATGTCTGTGACGCAAATCGATTTTTGAAATGCAGCTGATTTGACCGTTAAAGTGCATTTATTAAGGAAAAGTTCAACACACCTTTGCTATAATTTCGAGCAAACAAAAAAATTGTTTTTAAGTGTTAATCTTGTTAAATTCATGTTACAGTCCTCCCGTTCACGCTCCCGCAGCCGCCATTTGGCAGCCAATTGATTTTTGGCACAACACTGGCCCACGTTTCCAGGTGGTCGGCAGTGACGCATAATAGATGTGACTTATACGGTGAAGCGACTTATTTATGTTTTTTCCCACTTTATTAGACATTTTTGGACTGATGCGACTTATACGGTGGTGCAACGTGTGCAGCAGCAAGTATGGTATGTTCCCACTCCTCCACTCTGATGTACTGGACTGGTGAAAATGAAGGAACACAAATACCCCCAGTCAGCAGAAATACAGGCAGCGTATTGACGAGTACCAGAAGACTCTGTTCCATCAATGCTTAAAGTGCCTATCCCTATCCCTAACTCTAAATTGTTCCACATATTTTAAATTGTTGACATCTCACTGTCAAACACAGATATGAATGTAAAATGGACAGAAAAGGCCTTCAGTACTTTGTGCAACAGAAGAGGTCTTGACAGGTGTACAAAGAGTTTCCATGTGAGATAAATTCGGGTGCAAGGTAATATAAAACTCCTAACTATAACCCATCACGCTCACAGATCGACCGCTGCTTTCTGATCTGGGTTGTAGAGGATTAAGATTATAGCAAAGTCTAATTAATAAAACAACATGACCCCCACTTTCAACAGATAATAGTGTTAAATGAGTACAGACAGAAGACAAATAGCTAACAGTACAACATATGAATGCACGCCTCTAAAACTTACTCTCCTCTCCACAAACACACACTCCATAGTTCAGGATCAGGTGCTTATGGGACAACTGGCTCATCATGCTGGCTGCTTCAAAGAACGACTGAAGGACAGAAAAACATGATACAATTACAAAAAAAAAGCACACCCAGGAGAAAAACAACATTTTCAGTTCATTTGTTTGTCATAAATAGAATGTTGGTGTAGTTGTCCAATATGATTGTTTTTAAACATTTGTCAATCAAAGTAGTATATCCACAGTACATTTATGTTTAAAGTACTGCATCTTTCTTTTTAGCCCCACGCGGTAAAATACCTCCCCAGAATCTAAAGGCTCTTTCACAAATCAAGCCTAGACTTGTATGTGTTTTGGCTGTATCAGTGTGAAAAGACAAGGCAGTGACAGGCATCAATGCCAACCCACCCAACACACTTTAGTGTTGCAAAGAGGTAGAAACAGAGCCAAAATGGACAATATGTGAATAGGTAAGAGCTTTGCAGCTCAATAATTTGATGAAGTGATGATATATGGTCTGCGTGACCACAGAATAAACAGGTTTATCACAGAGGTGATGCTTGATGATGCAACATTTTGTAAAAAAAAAAATACTTAACTACAAAAAGAATCACTAAACTGAGTTAATTCATCACGTTTTAAAACAATAGGAGGGAGACGGTCACACGAATGTGTTGCGATCCACTTCATCTGTGCTGGACGGGGCCGCCTCCGTCTGTGGCTTTTCAATGGCCAGAGGCAGCATAAAGACGAGAGTGGTCTCTGGGGCCATTTCGTAGAACTGTTTTGTGAAAGAGCCTTTAAAAGCCTTCTGTTCACTTTTAAAAATAAAGTAGTCAAGCAGAAGTACACAACTTCTGCAACAATTTTTTTTTAGAGCAGGCTTATATTTTTACCGAGCTGTAAGTTGAATAGCAATTAACAAAATAGCAAATAGTTAAATGTCCATCTGTCCATTTTCAAAGTGTGCTTTGTGCAGTGTGGGGCGGGGGGATGGTGGAGCGCCAACATTTACACAGGGAAACCCAAACATTTGCATACAAATGCCAAGGTGCTTGTAAACATTAACAAAGATGCACAACTTTAAAACTACGGACCTCCGAGTAGTTTCTGTGGGCCATGTCGAGAACTTTCATCACAACTTCTGTTTGGTGCATTTGTCCGTAGTCTCCAAGCTCCTTTCGAATGCCTTTGAAGATCTTTGTAAATGTTCCTTGACCAAGACTTTCCATCTGACAAAAAGATTTTAAATGCACAAAGATAAAACATTAATTCTTTACAAATGGCTCTTATACCGGATTGAAAAAGCGTACTTATTTAGGTAATACTACGCTCACTATGATGTATTTAAAATATTACAATGAGTAAATTCATGTTAAGATAACCAAGTATTGTTATGGGCGAGTTTAGTAAACATAGTGCAGGAAAGGATAAATGAGGAAGTAAAGACATGCAGAGTAGGCTTACAAATTCCAGATCTTCTTTCCTGATCTTGTGAAACACCATCTGACTAATGTTGTGTCGCTGAAGAGACGGAGACAGAGGCACATCTGAACCCTTGTTGCTCCTGCATACAAGCAGGCAGGATTTCTCTGTGGATAACAACAATTTATATATTTTTATATATATATCTTGGTTTAAAGACACAGATTTGCTCAAGAGAAAACAAAACTTCAGGGTGCAACAAAGGAAAGGATAAGAGCTGCTGATATGAGTCAGAGCTCAGCGAGAAACTGTGCAGTCTATTTCTTCATCACTTTCGGTGGAAAACTACTTGTGGTCTCGCTGATGAAGGGAGGCGAGAACGGAGGCACATGTGAGTCATCCTGGTTTTCAGTTTTTCTTCTTGCACTGCTGTTCATTATAAATGACTGACCAACGCACGGTTCAGAGTTTCCCCTACCGTTATCCAAGGAGAGCGCCACGCCCTGTCAACAGAACCGAACACCCTGCCTACAAAATCTAAAACTAAACTAACTCTAAAAACTAAGTCTATGCATAGATGGACCTCCCTTGCTCCACATCGCTAATGCACAGATGCTGGTTCCAAAAATACAATATGGCAGCTCCTGTAAAACATTTCATGCTGGCATTAATTCCCAGCAAAGAGACGGCACAGAGTCAACCAGTATATATGTTAAAAATAATATAAGCCTCCGAGAAAAGTTTCTGATGCTACAAACAAAAAAGGATGGATAAAAGTGAACTATAATAAAAAAAAAAACACGGATAACCAATGGGGAAGACGTTATGTTGTGTTATTCATAAAGCATGTGGAGATAGGGAATCTTTACATGCTTTTGATACCAGAAAGAAACTAATGTTCCACGCTGAAGGTTTCATGTTGTCCTGTTACGGCTGCAGCTTCATTTCTCAAACAAGTGATTCTGGTAACCACTTCTTCAAAATCCTTCATCAACTGACCTAAAGCATTCACTTGATAAAAGTAAGGCCCAAGCTGCGTAAAGGAATTCTGTTTACGTGTACTGCAGATGTGGGATTCTCAGCCACTAACGTCACAAAATATTGATGCATTCCGATTAACACATGTTCAAAGCCATGCGTCAACCAGATGATCAAAGCCCCTGAAGTTGTTAAAAGACAACAGAAAGAATGGCACTTGAGACTGATGTCGTTTGAAAATGGTGTAACTTTTCAGAGCACATAATTAAAATGTGTAACGTAATTTTCTCAAGTAAAAATATAGAATGAATACCTTACCAAGTGCACGCTGGTTTAAAAAGACTTTTCCAACCTGCATATCCAGTGACACAAGATTGACTGATCCACTTATTTCATTTATCCTTTATTTATACAAGTAGTCTCATTGAGCCACGAGAACTCATTTTCAAGAGAGACCTGTTTGGGGAGCAGATGATGGGGGTTAAGGGCCTTGCTCAGGGGCCCAGAGTGGGGCGAATGAGGGTGGAGGGAGGTGTGGGTGTTCCACCTTTTCCACCCACATTTTGATGTTGACGGTACCGGGAGTTGAACCTGCGACTTTCTGATCACAGGCTTGCTTTACATGAGTAAAGTGTATTATGTAGTTCTAAATAAGAAGCTACAATCCCACTGCAAGTTCTTCTTCTCTATTCTTCCTATAATACCCATCCATTCTGTGCCTCCATCTAATGGTACACACACTCCTGCACACATAGGCCTGTCACGATAACACATTTTGCTGGGCGATTAAGTGTCTCAGAAATTATTGCGATGAACGATAATATTGTTTGAAATTTGACAATAATTAGTAACTACTGTCAAATTTAATAATAAACGTTGGTAATTTGTTTGTGTGTAGTATCAATCAACCTTTATTTATACAGGTAAATCCCATTGAGCCTCGAGGACTCATTTACAAGAGAGACCTGATTTCAACAAAGAAAGATGACAACAATGGACAACAGCAACAACAATAAGCAATTATAAAAACTCATACTACAGTTTTTTTTTTTGTTTTGTTTGTTTTTTTTAACAAATAGGATGGCTAAAAGGAAAAAGGTAACAAAACCAAAAAAACAGCTAGATTCCAAGACAAATGTATAAAACTAAAAACAGGAACATGTCAGCATTGGACCCTGCCAGGAGTCCAACAGATTCTTAAAGTACATTTTTTTGACCACTGGATGGCAGTATAAGACTGTCTGAACCGAAGGATGGATAGTGAGGGAGCGAGCGGTGTGTCTCTAAGAAAAAAGGGAGGGAGGCCCCTTGACGTGACATGGGCTGTCTCTCGTTCCTGTTTTTTGGTTCTCAAAATGGTGGACGCTCAGTGTGGTTTGAGCTCTTTAGCATAGCATTTGTCACACAAAGCTTTTAATTTAAAAAAAATCAGTAAACAAGTTCTCAGCTTCTTTTTACAAAGAAAACAACGTTTATATGAAGGCAGGGGTTTCAACCGTGAATTTTTGCGCTTTGACAAGACAGACGTTCCCCCCCCCCCCCCCCGAGGTCGTCCTGTTAGCTTAGCTCGTAGCTTAGCTTCTCAGCGTAGCTGCTTTTAACGATACAAAAGTGCGATTTTAGATGGTTAAAATGGATTTTAAAGAAAAGGGAAAAATGAAAAAGGGAGGGGTCAGTGAAGGGCGCCGGAGTTGAGCCTTTTTTGGCAGATAACTGAAATCAATAACTAGGGGTGCACCCCCGATTTCCTTAATTTTGTAAAATCGGCATAAAAAACAGATTTTACCAATTTTTTTAGTTTTAACAACAATTGTCTGAACTTCATTTATATTTCAGAGCACTACCTCATGGCCAGTTAAAACAAGTTTGTATTGTTACTAGGATATTGTTCAAGGGTATGTTTTTCAGTAAAATAAAATTAGAAAACTGAAGGTGCATTGTGACCGTATGACACCTGACAGTGTCCCTTACAAAACAAAATCGACATCGGCCAAAATTGGAATAAGCAGGTCAGACTTTTTAGAAATCGTCGATCGACAGAAAACTGCAATCGGTGCACCCCTAATCAATACCAATAATTTTTTTTTTCCTAGACCTACTTACAGAGACTACATAGCTTTCTCTGCTGTGGAATTAAAACACTACATTATTCTGCATGGTCTTTGTCAATTTGACCCGTTACCAAATGCAGATGCCAAAAGGGAGGCTGAAAATGCTGCAACACTATATGAATTTATAATAAATAAATATATATATATATATATATATATATGAAAATAGTGCCTTTTATATTTTATATCGGTGAGTTATTTTGACAGAATGGCCGATGTCCGATATTTAAATTTATTGCTAATATTGACCGATACCGATAACATCGTGCATCCCTAAAAATGAGGTAAATAATTTTCATTTATCATGAGATTAATTGATTTATTGTTTATCGCGACAGGCCTATGCGCACACTTCTACAAATGTCGTAAACGTGTTGATTAATGGAAGCATCATGTTGGTCTTACCTTTAGATTGAGGAGGGCAGCACTTGTTGAACTGGAAAATGATGCCATCCGAGCGCACAGTTTCCTTCTGGTAGCAGCTGAGTAGTTCCTGCATAGTGCTGAAGTTTCTTTTGGTTCCACTGAGGTTAAACTCACCAGCCGAAGACCTGGTGATCTGGCAATGCTTGTAATCTACTGCATTACACACCTAAACACACAAAAAGAACAGCTCAGCCAGGCATATAATTTGTGGATAATTCAACAACTCAAAATCAAGTCTCATTTTAAACATCACTTCAGGTCAACAAATTAGTGGAGAGAAGAAAAAAAAACTAGTTCTTGACGCACAGGTAGATTCTGCACAATGTTCTTAGAAGCAACATAATTAAAATGAATGAAAAAGATTTAAAAAAAAAAAAAAAAGGAAAAGCAGACACTCCCCTTTGTCAACTCCATGTAAAGTGTGTCTGTGACCACAGAAAACAAATAAACATTTGTTTTGAAAACGTTAGCCGACATCATTATTTGTGTGACCCAGAATGAGGCCTAACAGTCAAGTGAAATTCTGTGAGGGCTTGTCTTATTACTGTTTTTATTAAATAATATTTTCAATTAAAGTGTGTTAGTTTGACAAACACATGTATGGCAGAAAGTTAGGAGTGCTCACTGTGCTGACTGGAACTCTGGCACAGAAGCTTATACAGGGTTGACATTTTATTATTATTTTTTTGGGAGAGGGGCATGTTAACGACAGAAGAAGAAATATTAGAGTCCAAATTTTGCTGTTTTGCCTTTCCACCAGCAAACACTGCATACCCTGTCACTGTACTAAAACCTGCTGGCATCACGGTCAACATATTTCCCACATACTGACAGCTGGAACAAGGAGTACAGAGAACTAATGAAATGCATGTCAATAAGAAGTGCTTCTAAATAATCTGAGCAAAATACAATGTAAACACATTTCTATCAATTTATTTTAGCTTTAAGCTGTATTAGTGTAGATGGTCAAATGAACCACCACCAGAGACAGAGACCCACCTCAACTGGGAACGTTAGAAAATATTTGTTGAAGTCTTTTGGACTGCATCTGAGAATGTACAACCCCCGCTTGTTTCCACACTTCTGAAGCCTGTTGACAGCAAACTCCATTCTGCAATAACAACAACAAAGTTGGAGTTAGAAAAAGACGAGCAGAAGTTCTGCTTGTAGACCCAAACAAGGCTCGTTATTTTGGCCAACTGAAAGAGACGAGGAGAGGTGAAGCTATTGTATACACTTAAAACCAGGTGGACGACAACAAGCTTTGTGTCTGCATCAATGTCTGAACAAAAGTGGAAACAAATAGATTTTATGTATTTTATTCACTGTTTATTCAATAAAATGTTAATTTTTCTATAATCATAACTGGTACCGTTTCAAATATATTTTCATTCAAGCTTATAAAACATCTTGAAATGCAAACTGCAGACTTCCGAGCTGTGCTCTGTTTGCACCAGCAGTTTTGGAGCCTGGGAGGGGGGTGGGGGTGGGGAGGAGGAGACAGAGACACAGCAGAGCTGTGCACGGTTTGTACTGGTTTGTACACGGGTTGTGTGCATGTGTGTGTGTGGAGGTGTTAAGCATGAGGGTTCAGCGCGAGGTGTCATTCCCCGATCTGTTACGGAAGCCGATCAGTAGTGTAGCTCATTTGCTCATGCGCTAAAAGGAATACTTCCACGGCGCACGGATCACTGTTGAAAATGCTAGATTAAGGAAAATGTACTGATATAATTCTGTTTATGAATAAGAACCATCTTAATTTATTTAGAAAAGTTTGTGCTCTTGTATTTCCGTTAAAATCGTTGACATATTTACGTCATGGTTAAAACGATATGCAGCCTCACCACTGAGCGGCGCTGTTTCACCATGGAAATAATTCATTCTGCATCTTGCAGGCTTTTTCCTCATTCAGCCCAGGCTGGGGGTCAGGTCTAATGCGTCACATATCATCTTGACCAATGATTTGTAACGGAAATATGAGTGGCGTAAATTAGCTACATGAAGATCGGCGGAGATGGAGCACGTACTTTTCTTAGTAAATTAAGACAGTTTTGATTCAAAAACAACGGCGATCTGTGCGACACAGAAGTACACTACGGATAGTGCTTCTGTAACAGATCGGGGAATGACAGGAGGGAAGAGGCAGCGTGAGCTGTGCCTTTAACTTTTTAGCTAGCATGCCTGTATTGCGTGCGGCTAGCTTAGTGCTACGTCAGTGCTGACAGATGGGGGGTGGAAGCAGTTCGGTTCGGTAGGCAGCACGCTCGGTTCTGTTGATGGGGCACCCCGCTTGTATAAAGGTAGGGGAAACACTGGGATCTCTTTGTTCAGTCTTGACAAAAAAAAAAAAAAGTGTGTATATATACCTTTTATCTGCTCTATTAAACTTAATTGTAATAAAACAATCTCTTATGGTCTCTTTGATCTATAGGTTAAAGCATCATCATACATGTTGAAAACAAGAAATTAAAAATCTATCAAACTTATTTGACTGAATCGTGTTGAAATGCATTATAAGTGGATTGGATTTGACCATGTTCATTCAGAATAAACATAAAACTTGTTTATTTTTCTTGTAAATTACCCTTAAATCAAATTTAACTTTTTGGGAAACAGATGATACTTACGAAATGGGGCCATGGCAGTGACAAGATATGGCCTCAACGAGTCTGGGGGGCGCCACTTCCTTACAAAGGTAGTGATGTGCGTCTGTGGTCAGTCGATAGTACCCATCAATGAGGGACACAAATGAGAGGGCTTCAGAAAGGCTGGGAAACTCAAGCTCCTGAAACAAATAAAAAAAAACATCACTAAGTCAGCACACCATGGAGAATGTGCTCGCTCTGCTGACGACTGAGAAAAAAAAAATCATAAACAAATTACCAGATTCTTGCCATCTTGCTTATTGATGGTGACCAAGCGGCTCTCTCCTGCACCCTCTTTGCTGACTTGTTTGATGCCGATGTCAGTGACATCTGGAAAGTCGCACAAGGTTTGCAGCTCCTGAGCAACATTTAAATAAAAAGTTACTCTACATTTTGTTGCACAATATTCATTAACCAGTGAAGCATAAACTAATATAAATAAAGTGGCTTGTTATTTTTCTGAAGAACTGTCCCTTCTATTTTATTGTCTAGGTTGGGACACATTTTAAGCGAACAGGTCTAAACACTTGGAGGTCATCTCTGGTCTTCTGGAGGCCACTGTCCTGCAGGTTTTAGGTGGCTCCCTGTTGCAACACTCCTGATTCAAATAGCTGAATTGCCTTCTTAACATGTCATTAAGTGCAAGGATTTTAAAGCAGAAGCACATCGAATACATACAGAATACACTGCCTAGCCAAAAAAAAAAAAAAGTTGCCACCTGGATTTAACTAAGCACATAGGTACGAGCCTCCTATTGGATAATTACTGCATGGGTGATTATCTTTCAGCTGGCAACAAGTTATTTAACCCCAACTGGTGCAATGAGTTGCTTCTCATTTCTTAAACAACCATGTTGAAAGACACATCGCGTGGTCGTGGAAAAGATGCGAGTCTGTTTGAGACGAGTCAAATCATTGGCATCAAGCAGAGAAAACATCTAAGGAGATTGCAGAAACTACTAAAACTGGGTTAAGAACAGTCCAACACATTATTAAAAACTGGAAGGATAGTGGGGACCCATCGTTTTCAAGGAAGAAATGTGGCCGGAAAAAAATCCTGAACGATCGTGATTGACGATCACTTAAACGTTTGGTGAAATCAAATCGAAGAAAAACAACAGTAGCACTCAGGGCTGTGTTTAATAGTGAAAGTAAGAGCATTTCCACACGCACAATGTGAAGGGAACTCAAGGGATTGGGACTGAACAGCTGTGTAGCCTTAAGAAAACCACTAATCAGTGAGGCTAACTGGAAAAAAAAGCTTCAATTTGTGAGGGAGCATAAAGATCGGACTCTGGAGCAATGGAGGAAGGTCACGTGGTCTGATGAGTCCAGATTGACCGTTCCAGAGTGATGAGTGCATCAGGGTAAGAAGAGAGGCAGGTGAAGTGATGCACCCGTCATGACTAGTGCCTCAATGCAAGATTTTGGTGAAAAATTAATGCAACACTGGATGGAAATAGATCTTGTGACATTGCAGAAGCTTATCGAAACAATGACACAGCGAAAGCATGATGTAATCAAAGCTAAAGGCGGTCCAAGGAAATATTAGTGTGACCTTAATTTTGGTGGCAACTTTTTTTTTGGCCAGGCAGTCTAATTTGGTCTTTACGGCAAGATTTTATTTCCAGGGCTATAAGCGCATAACCACATTATACTAACATGCGTCATGGATGTCAAACTCTGGCCTTTGAAGTCTTAAATTCATTCAACCTGTCTAAATAAAGGTTGAATGAATTCAAGACTTCAAAGACCAGAGTTTGACACCCATGACACATGTTAGTATAATGTGCTTGTGTGCTTATATCCCTGGAAATAAAATCTTGCAGTACAGACCAAACTATAGATTGGATCAAGAAATGAAATGGCTGGGACCAACCTCATCTGAATCTTTCAGTTTCTCTCGACACCACTGTATTCCAGTGTCTGCGGCAACCAGGATGACGAGCCGTCCGCTGGATGCCTCGCTAGAAGGCTCCCTGACCTGGAAGGTCTCTGTGTAGAAAGCTTTCTCCAGCGACTCTATACTGATGAGGTACTTGAGCTTCAGATCACGAACTGTGGTCCGACACTGACTGAACTGCTGGATGAAGTGCTTGAAGCGGAAGCGGATTCTCTTACGAGTCAAAAAGCTGCAATCCTGGATTTGAGCTCTCATGTCCTTTGGCAAGAAGGACTTGTAACTGGAAAAAAAGGTTGAGAAGATTTTCGTCAGCCAGATGTTTTAAACTTTAAAAAAAAATTCTCATCATATAAATATATATATTATAATCTATCAATAAGAAATGCTTAATAAATGGAACACTTTCTACTTTGCACATCATTGTAAAACATTCCTTCTTGTAAATTATTGACGACATAGTTTTGGCATGCTGTTGACACAGTAAAGTTAACACAGACAGCTTAGTTTTGAGCCAGAACAGCATAATAAACAACACAGATAAATAAATAAAATCACACCAAAACAAAATTATTCTATCATTTTACCAAATCTATTATTATATTATTATAAATTATTATTGCTTAGCCAGTACTTAAAAAATAAAAATAATCAAATCAAAAGTATTTGAAAATACCTTATATTGTGGTAGATATCCAGAGGTGACATCTGTTTCTCCTTGGCTGTTCTGGTCATGTCCAGAACAGCCAAACCAAGGCACTCTTCCTGTGTCTCATGGGAGTCAGAAATCTTCACAAAGCCGTTCACAAAATCATTTCTCCACTGCAAACAGGAATATGAAAACAACAAAGTTTGTTCAGAACACATGTGTTAATCTACATCTCAAGGCTTTGGCAAATTGTACATTTAACTTTGAGCTTTCATGTTCGTTACACCAACCAGTGTATCTTTTCCATGACGCAAAACAAATGTTTCAGGGGGAGTGCTTTTTTATTTAGGTTTTTGAGCATCCACAAACTTTTTGAATAAAAGCCAGGGCTGCATGAAAAAGCATCTCATTTGGTTTCCAGCAAACTGATATTTTTTGAATATACAGAAACGTAAAACTTATTTATGCAGTAATAAGCTCCTTATTACGTTACTGTATTAGTTGTTTTTTTCCTATCTGTTTTGAAAAAATAACTTGTTGGATGTGTTCAAAAGCTCTTTGACCTCAACAGAGGATAAATAACAGCTAGACATGGGTACAACATGACTTGCTTTCAGCCACTGGAACAAACTTTGTTTTCATTGTTCCCCTGCAGGTCCATATGACGAGAGGATGGCTGTGTACCACAGCTGACCAATGAACAAGCTTCCTCATGACGTCATGTTTGCAGCTCTTGTTTTGACTTTAATAAGTCAGTTTGAACACCAAACAGACCCGAACTGAAAGGTAATGGATTTTTCCCACCCTAGATTTTGCACCGACCTGGATTTCATTCTATGGGTACAACTACTAAAGATATAACAATCGTGATTTTCTAGAATCAATTAAACCCAAGCTGACCAAAAAAAAGATTTTTGTTTACATTAAACAAGAGTGGTTAAAAAAAGACATTTTACTTAAGAATTTCACGAACTGATTTGTTTACTATTTATCAAAAACTGGAAAGATTTAATTCCTTTTTACTCAACTTTTAGTTTCTTTTTACTCACAAGTACAAATAATTAGATAAACATCTTGTAAATTCTTTTTTTTTTAGAAAAACGTATAAACTTTTTATCTGCCTGCAAGGAGTGAAATTCAGGTTATGTGTAAAACATCAATTCACATCAAAAGGTCATTTCAGGGCACCGTATAAAAATAAAACATGCCTTCAATTTAAATGTTATGAAAGAATATTCCAGTACAACCTAATTTAGGTTGAAACCAAATCAATAAAGTTATATTTCAGATATTTACAAAATGCCAACTTGTAAAAAATGCTAAGCAAAGGAAGCCAAGAGATTGCAGCACATCTTTGTTTCAGTCTCATGTCGTGAGCGTGCACAGGAGAGTAGTTCTGTTGTGTCCTTCAAAAAACTAAAGCCAACATCTGTCCAGAGAAACTGCAAGAGATTTCCTGCTCACTTTTAGGCTTTTCTTCAAGCTGTCAGGGTCGATTTCCTCAGGCATAAATCCATGTAATCCTTCAGTTCACAAAGAGGTCAACTTGAATCTTATTCCTGACTTTGTAGTCAGTAGAACCACCTAGACCTTATGCATTTCTACTGCAAATGGTCAGTCTGCTTTCTGGGAGTGTTTTGGGCTGAGGTCAAACAAGACTACTTTGATTTATCCTTTAAAAAGTCAGTATTGCACTAAGCTTGTCCTATCCCACGCAGATAATTTATCATTAGTACTGTTACAAAAAAATCTGTGCACATCAATAGTGTACTCTGACCTAAAAAAAAAGGGACAAATATTTAAGTTGCCAACAAAAGACAAAATTATACAAATCAATTCCCTTGCAGCTTTTTTTTCTGCACAGTTTTATAAAATCCTTTAGTGGACAGATGTAAACTTAAGTGTAGATCTGAGTCAAAGCATACTGTACTTCTATTATTTTCTATTCTTGTCCTGCGCATGCTTTGTTATTAACATTTTGTAGAAAATAAAATACTCTGAAATCAAACAGTTGGTATGGAGGCATAATATTCAAAATCTACGGTTCGGTCAAGAAGCCAAGTCTCTTTTTGCACCTTTCTTTTCTCCATTACAGGATTTCCACAAACATAACAAAGGCCTCCAGGAAACTACAGTAGGATGTAACAAGTACACGGAAAAGTGCCTCGCAACATGGTAGCCTTATAAATGCTTCTATATTTTGAGGCTTTTTTGTTTGTTTTTATTTTTTAATTTCAAAAAGACTCGCATTACTCTTTTAGGCTACTTTGACAATTATAGCCTCCATTTCAAAAGCCTGCAAGACTAAATGATGATAGATTTTTTAAAATATTGTTAACATATTAGCAGGTAATGAGCAGACAATCAGAATTCCACATCAAAAATAGCTCACAATTCAGTCAGACTCCATAATATCGTTGGTAATTTGCCAAATATCGGGGTCTAGATAGGCTTCCTGCCTTGTTATGCAAGGTAATGGGCTTTACTTGCATCCTGAGTGCACCGTTTCTGTAGGACAAAAATGCCCTTTGTGTCGCTGCCTTGGTTGTTTCAAAGAGAGGAAGCAGTGACGAATCTGAACAATGGCAGCGCCGTCGAAGCCTTAGAGAGCACTAAAAGAGCGGGGATTTAGTTTTGCGTACCCATTTGTGTTAACTAAAGTGTACATCTGCCTGCAAAGATGAATATTTATGCTAGGAACTGAAAATTTTAGTAGTACTTTTAAAAAATGAGCAGTCTCATGGTTTATTGAATAAAGATTTTTTTTTGTTATAGCTTGTTATTCAGCTCTTCAGTGGGGCTCGGCAGAGTTAAAAAACTGAAGCAGTGAACCAGTTCATAGTAACCAAGTGTTGACATTACGTCGTTCAGTGACATGTATGGCGTGTTTTCTGGTGTAAAGCTTCAATACTGGGCAACACTCAGTGCTCTTTCAATTTTGTGATGAAATCAACAGAATATAAAGCTAATTTCAGCTGAACTAAAAAAAAAGGAACTACAGCCTTTTTCCCATGGGCTCAACAAGGCCCTACTCTAGTCAACCTGGCATGGGTTCTTATTGGGTGATCCTACCCGTTTCCAGCTTGGTTCTTTAAGAACAACGCAGACAAGACTCCAGGCAAGCTGAGCCAATGACTTCATGTCAGCAGACTGTAGACCATCGATTGTCCAGGAAGTCACATGACTGGATGAGACCTGGCTGCAACTGCTTCAATTTTGGATTCATCCAATTTTTTGTAACATAAGCCTTGCAAGTGTTCTCTGGCTCACTTTTGGTGTGTATGACTAACCACAGACTGAGAACCAGGCACACCACAATCTTAATATTTTTGAGTGTCACCAAACAATGACATCACAGAAATGTTGACCACCATTGCAGTGACAATCCTACTCACACTTCGTTAAATTAAATTAATTAAATTAAGTGTAGAACCACTAGACTGAGGAACAGCTTCTACCCTGAGGCTGTTAAGACTCATGAATCTCTAACTAGAATAATCACTGTGAAAAATCACATCATGTTGCTGCTGATCTGTTTCATGTTGCTGCTGATCTGTTTCATGTCGCGCTCATCTGCTCATGTTCGTGCTGCTGTTCGACGTATTGTTTTTATGCTATTAGTCCTTAGTGTATATTTAGCTGATGTTTTTCTTAGTTCATATCTTAGCTCTTATTACCGTTTTTCTTTTACATTTTATTGTTGGATGAAACTGAGACCCTACGTACATAATTTCGTTCCACCACATGTACCACATGAGATGCGAAGGACAAATAAATCTCTGTGACTCTGACTCTACATAAAAAAAAAAAGTGTTGTATCCAATTAAGGCAAGGCAGGTGCAATACTTGTCTAAATAAAGGTTGAATGAAAAAATACACTTGACAATCAAACAACTATGCTTACCTGAGAAAAGAGGTAGGACATTACATTATCATCAAGGACGGGGCTTTCAGACCCTTTTTTGACCCCATATCGATAAGCTCGGGATGCTCCACTGCTGTACCAGCCAGGGAAGTAGTACCTGCAGTATTTAGTAGAAAAGAAAATTAAGGACGAACAAGAATGCTTACGTTTTATTATGAGGGGGAAAAATATTTACAAGGACACACAAAAGAAAAAAAATTAAATAGTACCGTATTCTAAAAAACACTTCTTCTGAGGATGACTCGTCAAGCCGAAATATGTGATTAGGAGAAAACCACATGCGGTCTTGTTCTCGAAAGAGGCCAAAAAGGCTGCAGTACAGGGGTGATATACCTGGAGGGTTTAAATAACAAGAGAAATCACGTTATGTTTTGATTTGCTTGCAACACATTTGATTATGTAACATAAATTAGGTGCCAAAAAACACACAGTATCCCTGTAGAAGTGTAGTGTGTGCTCAAATGTGTGCACACTTTAATGGAGTGGGCCTCGGGACACAGATAGGAAAACTGTTTTTACTACTAATACAGATGGAAAAAAAAAAGGTAAATAACGTTTGTCTAAAATGTCAGGTGTGTTTTGGTTCATCATAAAACCCATAACATGCAGGTTAGTCTAGTCCCTCCCCACGTGGCCTTGCTGTTCATTAGTAGTGTCACATTAGCATCTATTCACAATTTAAACCTCTTCTGCAAAAAGGAGCAAAGCAAAGCTAAAATATTTAGTTGGTATTGAAACAAATGAAAAAAAAATTGAAAGAACTATTTTTGCAAATAGAGATCACTGTATCCACTTGATAAATCTGTCAGATGTAAGGTTTTCTTCAACTTTAAACAAGGGGGAGAGCCCCACACCCCCCACCTGCACCCCCTGAAGGTCATGGCACGTTACAGTCTGTACGTGTTTGCACCTTACCAGTCCACTGTGGCTGGTCTAGATGCCAACACCAATACATAATCACTCGCTCTCCTCCCTCTGGGCTACACCCCCTACCTAACAGGGGACATTTCTGTCTAAAATTTAATATTGTATTAAAAGTGTACTAAACAATGTGATGCATGTGCTCCGTGATGCTAGGGGTGCCACTACCATGAAGTATTCACGTGACTTCGACGAGTTCTGGGCTGTTTGCTGGTTTGCATCGCGTTTAATATGCTTCAAAGTTTCATGAGCAATTTTTGTCCCAACAACACATTAATGACACGTAATTTCTGTGTCAACGGTGCATTTGACACAAATCTTGCCTATTTATGACCCTTTTAATCATCTGCGCTTCCTGGCAGATTGGGTTGTGTCTTTCCTTCAAATAATTAAACAAAAGAACAAAAATGTGCCGGGTGATACCTCAGTTTATATGTATATATTTTTTTTGTTTTGTTTCCATACCACGCATCTTTGAAAATGTCCTTTGAGACGCTCCGAAGAGATGAGAATACTGCAGTGAGCAAAAGCTGTAATCTTTGAATAATCATATTATCCAAGTTCTAAAACTGTTTATTTACTTACTTATTTAACTTAAGAGAAATGCTATGATGTACTTAAAAGTTACAATAAAGTACAAGGTTTGCACAGTTGGGAGTACTGGTACTCACAGCATGCTTTAGCTGCATCTGCACACAGTTCCTCAGCCACGTAGTCCCCAGGTGGGTAGCTGAGAAAGCTGCAGTTGGCTGCTCCCTGGCTGCTGTGATAGAAATGAATGGTCAGAACTGGAGCGGCTGGTCTTGTGTCTGGAGATTCCCGATGGGCGGTCCCATTTTGGTGCACTGCAGGGCAGGAGTCAGTCACGGTGTCCATAGCCGGCAGGGAAGCCATCAGCAACATGTGCCCTGAAGTCGATTAAAGGCAAAATGTCAGCCGTGAGAAGGATTGCTGCTTCACTGTCATTTGAATTTAATATCACAATCAGGGTGCACAGTTTGAATGCTTGCACAGTGTTAAAACGTGTTGCATAAAGCTGCAGTACAGAGGAACCATTGTCTAAAAAAAAATGGTTATAAAATCTGTAAATCTAATTCAAAGAGTGACAATTATGAATCAAAGTCATGAGTTTGTTTCTAATTAAAGTACAGAGATTCTTTTTTTAATCCAAAGACTATGTAATTTTGTTAGCTTTGGAAAACATTTTTTCATAAATTATGACAACTTAAATGAAAAAAGACTGCGTCCAACATCTTTCTTTGTCTAATAATATGTTTTATGAACTCACAGCTGCTTGCAATGTCTCCAGAGCAATGTTGTTTCAATGAAGGTACCGAAAGCCCATTTTGTAAAAAGGTCATTAAAGCAGAAAAATTAATCAAACAGCTGATAAAAACATATCTAATGCACATTAACATTAAACTCTGAGAGCTAAACATTAAGTTTTCTGGATGCTCCCTCCCTCACACGCAACCAACGTCATTACTGGGCTCCTGACCTCATCTGTAAATACAAGCACATCACTTAGGATCTTATTTAAAGCTCATTTTCACATATTAACACTTGAGGTTTGTGGGAAATTGCGTGGACAACAGAACCCAGACTTTTCCTTTGCGAAGTTTTTGTTCACACTCGCACTTCAAAGCAGGACATTTTCTGGTGAAAGCTTCTGAAGCCAGAAATGTGTAAGACAGAGCACGAGGGAGCACTGCTGTAGCACAAGACGTGATGCAAAATGTATACTATGGAAATTGATTTGTTTTGTGGACAACATAATGAGAATGGCAGCTGAAGCTTCTTGAAAACCGTTTTGTGTTGCCATCAAACAACAACGAATTTAATATCTAAATGTACCAAAAAGCTAAAAAAAAAAAAAAAAGCAAGTACCGTAGAAAGACAAGAAACTTTTCCAAGCACCAACTACACAGTTTGATGGATTGCTAACGTTTCGTTCTCCCACTTATATTGAGATCACCACAGAAAATTTAAATTTACATTATGTAACCCCGGAAACATCCATCCATACATCATCTTTACCCACTTCTTCCTTTTCGGGTCACTGGTGCCCATATCCAGCAGTCACTGTGTGAGAGGCGGGGGACATCCTGGACAGGTCACAAATCCATCACAGGGACACATGGGGACAAATGAGACATTCACTCTCTCACTCACACCTAGAGACAATTTAGAGTTATCAATCAGCCTAACATGCATGTTTTTGGTCTGTGGGAGGAAACCGGAGTGCTCGTTACCTGGTAGCCCACACATGCACGGAAAAAACATGCAACTCCACCCAGAAAGGTCCCTGGCTTGGGATTCGATCTAGCGACCGTTTTACTGAGAGGTACCAGCTCTACCAACTGAGCCACAACAACAACAACAACAACAACAACAACAACAACAACAACAACAAC